CCGGTGTGGGGGGGCGCCGGCCAGGCCGTTCCCGGCGCGCGGCTGCGCTGTGGACCCCTCCCTTGGTGCCTTTTATTTCTTTAAGAAATTCTTTCATGGTCTGAAATGATGATCTCATTTCCTAGAGCTGATTGATTGTTTTCTCTTGCATCTCATTGAGTTTTGTCACTATGAATATTCAGAATTCTTTTACTGACGTTTTTTGTGTATTTCTCTGTGCCATGCTGTTTCTTTGGTGAGTGGCTATTATACTCACTTGGGGGAAGTTACCACTTTGTTTTCAGTGTTTCTTCAAGATCTGTGCTGGTTTCTAGTCATCTGAGCAGTATTCACTTTTTGTATTTATTCAGGTAGATTCTGTAGTTTTGGAAGAGTTAATTTTACCCTAGTTCCGAGGTATGTTTTTATTGAAGGGCTCTGTGTCCTTGGTCAGAGAAGTTATGTGTAACTTCAGATCCTTTTTTACCAAACATTCAACTCTTGATTAGGTGGTAGCAAGCTAATGAGATATAACTTAGTGAAGAGGATCTCAACATGTGTTGTGCAAAGCGCAGGAGTGGTGGCAGTGCCAGAGTGGTGGACAACAGAGTGGCGAAGTTTCCAAAGTTGGACTTTGGAGATTGGACTCACCCAGTGAGACCTGTGTAGGCCAGGTGCAAGTCTCCTGGTGGGAGGGTGGAATGAGCCCTGGCTGCCGTAGTGGTGGGCAACTGAGTGACAAGAGTTTCAAGGTTGTTCCCAGGTCCTGAGTGATGGGCCTGTCTAGACCAGACTTAAATCTTCCAGCAAGTGGTCAGGGTGAACCCAGGCTGCCCTAAATGCCAGTTTTTTATTTGTTTTAGAGAGAGGTTTTTCCTATAAGGCTTGTGTACTTGCCAGGGAGCCAGAGACAGAAAGGAAGAAGTCTTCCCCCTCTCAGATGGAATGCCCTTGCACATGCCCATGTCCCTTCTCCATTCTTCTCTTGGGGTTTTGGGCACACAACGCATACATGACCTGCATGAGTTTAAAGCCACTGGGTCTAGGACTCAAACCACAGTTGACTCTGGTAGTCTAGTGACATAAACAATATATCATCTGCTGGTTTCTATTTGGCATTTCTTAAGAGAGATTTTTGTAATGGGGCATATGTGTTCAACAGGACACAGAGAGAAGACAGACAGCAAGAAATCACCCATGCAACAATCTGTTCTCCAGTCCCCTCTCAGTATCTTATTAGGCACGCACACATGCGCACGCATGCGTATGCACACATACGCACACACATACCTGGTGTGAGTTTAAGTCACCGTATCAGGGACTAAAACTTTGGTTGACTATGTGGGAGATTAGCGACATAACCATTATGTCATCTGCTTGTCTTTAAGTGCCTGTTTTTTAAAAATCATATTCACAGGACCAGCAAATAGTGTGATGGTTTTGTCAATGGATTCCAATGTGCCAACCATGGTTCAGGTCCGGACCCAGTGGCTTAAAATTCACACTGGGTGGAGCCCTGCAGTTGGCATAATGGCTATGTCACCAGACTCCTGTATAGTTGACCACAGTTCAAGTCCCAGAACTGGTGGCTTAACGTCATGCTGGCACGTGTGCTTGCAAGCCCCACATCCCAAGAGGAGAATGGAGGAGAAGGGATTGAGGTGTGGCTATTACCCTGGGGGTGTGATTTCTCGCTTTCTGGCTGTCTCTCTTTATGGTGAGCACACGTGCCCTATAGTACAAAACTCTCAAAAAATAAATTTCACACTGAGTGTGTGTGCATGCGTGCTCAAAATCTCAAGAAGAAAATGATGGAGAAGGATATGCAGCATGCCCATCCCCCCAGGGGGTGATTTGTCTATTTCTGTCTCTCCCTCTCCAGTGAGTGCATGTGCCGTGTAACAAAAAATCTCTAAAAATAAAAAAATGTATATGTGTGCATATATATATTCACTAGGCCTATTTTGTTTTTAATTTCTTCATTTTCCTAATACTATGTTAACTGATATTATTTGCTATTCTTATAGGTAGGGGAATTTCACATAAACTGCAAGAAATCATTCCCACACAACAAATCAGCAAGGAGGATGCACCCACTCTCATGTCAATCGTAAGTCCATGGGTGTGGACCCTGGTCACCCAATAGATACCTGACAGCGGGATATGTTAGAGATTCAGCACAATTATCTGATGTAATTAAATCCAACTAAGCTTTTTATAAGCCAAAGGTTTTGGTTGTTTGAATGTATAAAAACTAACATGAGGTCAGATCCATAAACTGAGATCTTTAAAACAATGGGCAGTTGCCAAATGTCTACAAACAGATGAATGGATAGAAAAAGTATGGCACAAATACTCTATAGAATACTACTCAGCCATAAAAAACAAGACCCTGGCATTTGATAGAAAATAGTCAAATAAGGAGGATGTATTGCTTAGTGAAGCAAGCCAGGATATGATAGAAAGATATTGTATGTATTCACTTATTATATACCGATTATCTGCACTTTATGGTAGAGATCAAAATATTGGAGGGCATAAAAACAGTGAAAATAGTTATGGATCCTGAAGACTGTGGAACGCAGGGGGCTAGAGTGAAGATATATAGAAACATAGCAAGAGAACAAATAGAGAGGCATGACATTAGTGGGACACAGAAATTGTTTATTACTTGTTGAGAACATGTGCAGTATTCTCAACTGGACTGGTCTGAGAACTATTTTATGTTTGGTTAATTCTTTATACAAGCTAAGTAATATATAGTGATTGACTGTTTAAAAATAGTGAATAAATAATAATAACAATCTGAAAAAATGATGAAAAGCTATCTGATGATGATGTGTATAGTAATGTCTTTGTCTTGAGTGATATGCCTGGTAATCACACTAGAAAAAGAAATGTAATACATTGTAAAGATACATGCAATTCAATGTAATTTAACAAAGATTATGACAATAATAAAATTAAGTAAAAAATAAGCAATTGCATAACCAGTACTCATTTACCTACTCTTTACTCTAGTGAAGTCTTCAGAATTATTCTGGTATCCTTCAGTTGAGATGCTACATAAAAGAAATTCTATGGCTCAGAAAAAAGTAGCACACTATGTGCATACAAGTAGTAATATTTTAATTTTAACTCTAAATTACCCATGGTTCTTATATTTGCATGTAGAATAATTCATGTATGAATGTATTTGTGCAAATCAATAACAGAATTTCATTTCCTTTATAAATACAGAAATCTCCTACTCAAGAAAATCCATCTAAACAGAATAATTCAGCAAAAGATGTCGCTGAAAGCTCTGTATTGAGTCAAAATGTGTTAACTCACACAACGAAGAAATCCTTTGTCAACAGACAGTGTGGAAACTCCTTTAGTAACTATTTATATCTTAATCGAGACAAGAAAAATGAAACAAGTAAGTCATATGAGTGCCATCTGTGTGGTAATGCATTCAGTCGACCAGTTAATCTTAGACTACATGAGAGAATACACACTAGAAGTAAATCATGTATGTGTCATATATGTGGGAAAGCCTTCAGATTTCCTTATTCCCTTAGAGCACATGAGAGAGTACATACTGGAGAGAGGCCATTTGAATGTCATCTATGTGGGAAAGCCTTCAGCCACTCTTCTTCCCTTAGACAACATGTGATAATACACACTGGAGAGAGGCCACATGAATGTCATCTATGTGGGAAGACCTTCAGTCACTCTGCTTACCTTAGACAACATGCGAGAACACACACCAGAGAGAGTCCACATGAATGTCATCTATGTGGGAAAGCCTTTCGTCACTTTTCTTCCCTTAGACAACATGAGATAACACACACTGGAGAGAGGCCACATAAATGTCATCTATGTGGGAAAGCCTTCCATCACTCTTCTGGCCTTAGAAAACATCAGAGAATTCACACTGGAGAGAGACCACATGAGTGTCATCTCTGTGGGAAAACCTTTCATCACTCTTCTGGCCTTAGAAAACATCAGAGAATTCACACTGGAGAGAGGCCACATGAATGTCATCTATGTGGGAAAGTCTTCAGTCACTCTTCCTACCTTAGAAAACATGAGAGAAGTCACACAAGAGAGAGGCCACATGAATGTCATCTATGTGGGAAAGTCTTCAGTCACTCTTCCTACCTTAGGAAACATGAGAGAAGTCACACAAGAAAGAAGCCACATGAATGTCATCTATGTGGGAAAGCCTTCAGTTACCCTTCTGACCTTAGACAACATGAGAGAACACACACTGGAGAGAGGCCATATAAATGTTATCTATGTGGGAAAGCCTTTATTCAGAACTCTCACCTTAAAAAACACAGTCGAACTCATGCTGGAGAGAGCCCATAAACATGCCATAGATTTGGGAAAACTTTGAGGAGTTGTTCTTCCCTTATACAACATGAGATAATGCACACTGGAGAGAGATAATATAAATGTCATTATGTGGGAAAGCCTTTATTCAGAGTAGTAATTTTAAAAGTCACAATCTATCTCACACTGGAAAAAAACCCAATATACATGCCATCTGTATTAAAAAGTTTTCAAGACTTGTTCTTCCCTTATACAACATGAGAAAATATACGCTGGAGATAAACTATATAAATATCACTTGTGGGAAAGCCTTTATTCAGAGTGGTAACCTTAAAAAATGTGTTTCTCTATTGGAGAGAAACCATATATGACATGAGAGAACACAGACTGAAGAGAAACTATGGAAGTCATCTGTATGGAAAAATCTTCAGCAGATCTGCCTTTAAACTGCATGAGCAGACTCATACTAGAGAGTAATAAATATTTTCAGTAATAAATATGTTCTGACCTAAGATGACTTGGCAATATACATGTAATAAATTTGAAAGAGTGAGCAATGTATCTGTATAATATAAACACCTTGTAGATACATTCTCTGGAATCAATGTGGAAGATCCTGAAGTCATCCTTACTCTTCCATTAACATACAGAAATTTATATATAATAATAACATGAAATAAATTACCTATTTTTTTGTTGTTGTTAGTATTCTGCTAATACATATATATTCAAGTTTATTTAATATTTACATTTATGTGATTAAATATAAAGTATTAAAAAATTTGTTTCATACCTTTTTTCAGACTAAGTTTACAGTGTACAGCCTAGTTCTCTCCAGCAAAGATACAGTGTGCCTATCAGTCAAGACAAAAACGTTGTGAATGTAGAAGTCTTCAACAACAGTTCTTAGCCTTTTTCTTTTTTTTAAGAGAGAGTTTTACTATAGGGCACCTGCACTCCCTGGAGAGACAGCAGAAATCACCCCTTAGGGGAGATGGATATGTCACAATCCTTCTCCTCCATTCTCCTCTTGGGATTTTGGGCATGCATACAAACACACACGCCCTGTGTTGAATTTTAAGCTACGGAGTCCAGCACTCAAACCACGGTCGACTACTAGGGAGTCCAGCAACGTAATCATCAACACTATCTTCTGGTCCCCAGTTCTCAACTTTTAACGTACTGAGGACTTGTACATGGTAGAACTCTGAGATCTGTAATCAATATGGGATTGCCTCTGTAAAATTTATTAATGAACATGAGAAAATTCTATTTGAGAGAACCCCTAAGCCTCTAGTAACTGAAAAAATCATTCACCCAAACACCAGGTTTTGTGTGGGTAGACACATGTGCATGTGTGCAGAATAATAAAGAACAAGTTCTAAAAGAATAAAACTTTTTGAGGAATATAAAATTTTAGGGAAACAATTCAGTGAAAGATTAAGAGAAATTCTTTATTCATAGAGTAACACTTGTGGCATGTATAAGGAGTCATATTGGATAAAGCATACTTTGTGTAGGGGCTAGAAACTGGCTTTGTGTTTAAGGTGCAAGACTTCCACATGGTCAACATCATTTGGAGTCCAGGACCTGATGACTTGGAAATCAAACCAGGTAAATGTGCATGCCCAAAATCCCAGGAGTAAATGAAGGAGAAGGGATTGTGGTGTGGCCATCACTCCATGTGGGGTATGATTACTCAGTTTCCCTCTCTCTGATAAGTCCATGCACCCTATTTCAAAAACCTTTTGAAAAAAAAAGCACAAAAGTAAACATTCCATATCATGAATGAAGGAAAGACTTCAGTGGTCACTTATTTCAACCTTAGTCAACACTAAGGTTCTTTCACTGAGAAGAAAACAATTCTAAAATCCAAGTCAAGAAATTGAGGGAGATTTTTACTTCAGAAAACAGGCTGGAAAAAGCAAGAAACAAATTCATATATATATATATATATATATATACACACACACACACACACACACACATATATATATATATTTACATATACATACATATATATTTACATTTAATCACATATCTTCACGGTGTACAAAGATATGCTATATATATTATCAACAAATAGCTCCTCTTTTTTTTGTCAATTAAATGTACTTTTATGTTTTTTCCTTCCCCTTTCCTTTCTGTCCCCATTATCTGGATTTTGAGCCATCTAATGGTATCTAGTATTACTCGTATATACTCTTTTTTTGGGATTATTTTCTCAATCTTTTTAGTCAGTTTTTCTAGGTCAGAATTCTGCCCTCTACATATGAGATTCAATTTTCTGCATGATCTAGTATGCTTTTTTCTTTTCTTGGAGAGGTTTTTGCTATTGTGTATGTGCGCTCACCAGAAAGAGACAGAGAAAGCGAGAGCTCACCCCCCCCCCAGGGAGGATGGTCATACCACAATCCCTTCTCCATTCTCCCCTCAGGAACCTGGGCACACATGCACACGTGCCCAGCATAAGTTTAAGCCACTGGGTCCAGGACTTGAACTGCAGTCAACTACATGGGAGTCCAACAACATTGCCATTACACCAACTGCTGGTTCCAAAAGTTGAAGTTTTTATGATCCAAAGAGTATCAGATGTTTGGCTACTGTACACGTAGACCTGTATAGACACTCAAAGTGTGGAAGCAGACACGCAATCTGAGAAAGTCAGATAAAAAGAAAAGGAAACAAGACAAAAGAAAAAAAATAAGGGAAAAATTTAAAAAGTCAAAAAATGAAAACCAAGTGACATTTAAAAGATCAGGGCCAGGCCCACCTCAGATAAACATGAATTCTGAAATTAGCAATATAAAGGAGAGGTCAGAGATATGAGACAGGACAGAATTTTTTTTTTTTGAGAGGTTTTCGCTATAGGGCGTGTGCGCTTGCCAGACAGACAGAGAGAGACAGAGACAGAAATCACCCCCCAGGGGGGATGGTCACACTGCAATCCCTTCTCCATTCTCCTCTCGGGATCTTGGGCCCGCATGCACACGTGCCTGGCATGAGTTTTAAGCCACCGGGTCCGGGACGTGAACCGCGGTCAACTACGTGGGAGTCCAGCGACATAGCCATTATGCTAACTGCTGGTTCCCTGAGACAGGACAGATTTTAAAAATATATATATAGAAAGAAAATTTTCAAGAAGGAGGGAGAGAGAAAGATGAGGGAGACAGAGCCCACCCTACCTCACTTGGGTGTTGGGCTTCAGGGAGAGGTTTCAAGCAGAGGCTCTTCAGTTAAAGGGATGTTTGACTGGAAGGCAAGAAATTCTAAAAGACTTCTTAAACAAAATCCAGTAATTTAATCAGAATCTTGAGGGAATGGCTATTGAAAAAGACTTTTGAAACTAGTATAGTTATATTTGTGAGTATTACATGCAGATATTATTAACAAATTAGATTCCATTTGAAATAGATAAAATTAGATCTCACTTGAGTAGAAATTAGTGCTTGTAAGGAGGGGCTGAATAGTGGGGCAGTAGCACAATGGGATGTTCTGTGAGGCAGACTTAGAGGAAAAAGTAATAGGTTGAAGTCCAGAGACCACTCTGAGTATGCCAGACATGTGTTTTCATGATCCAGGCTGATTGAAGCTAGAGGTGGGTTGCAGAATGAAGACTCTGTCCAGGGTGATGTAACCCATTAGAATTATGGGAGAATTTTTTTAAAGAGGTTTTTTCAATAGTGCACATGCACTTGCTGGAGAGAGAGTGAAGGAAAGTGAGGAATCACTTCCCCAGGGGCGATGAGCATGCTGCAATTCCTACTTAACTCTCTTCCAGGGATTATGGGCATGCATACATATGAGCGTGGCATGACTTTCTAGTCACCAGATAACTTCCAGTGAACTGTAGTAGGACCTGTGGGAGTCCAGTGCTGTAACCACTATGCTACCTGCTGGCCTTTGAAGAACATAGTTTAACATGTAATTATTTTATTTTAGATTTCCTTTTTTGTATATAATTCATAATGTACAAAAAACTAGTGTGTTATTTAGATGTGTGTGACTTATAAATAAATGCATATACTTAAAAATCTGTCTTGAGGACTAAAAAATGTAAAATACTTGCAAATGTTTAAACAATAGAGAAATAAAATATGGTGATTTTTATTTCTAAGAGATTTTTTGCTATAGGGCATGTGCAGAAAGTGAGAAATCACCCCCTAGAGGGATGGCTGCACCACAATGCCTTGGCATGTGCACTTGCTGGAGAGGGAAACAGTAAGTGAGAAATCATCCCCTAGAGGGATGGCTGCACCACAATGCCTTGGCATGTGCACTTGCTGGAGAGGGAAACAGTAAGTGAGAAATCATCCCCTAGAGGGATGGCTGCACCACAATGCCTTGGCATGTGCACTTGCTGGAGAGGGAAACAGTAAGTGAGAAATCATCCCCTAGAGGGATGGCCCCACCACAATGCCTTCTCCATTCTTTTCCCAGGATCTTGGGCCTGCACACACACATGCCTGCCTGAGTTTCAGTATGCCGGTCTAGGACTCAAACTTCTGTTGATCAGTTATTTATTTTGTTTTAGAGGTTTTACCCATATGGCACATACACTTGCCAGAAAGAGTCAGAGACAAAGGGACAGTGAGAAATCGCCCCCTAAAGAAGATGGCTACAGTGCAATTTCTTTTCTTGGGATTTTGGTATGTAGACACGTACCCAGTGTGATTTTTCAAGCTGCCAGGTCTGGGATTCAAACCATAGTTAGCCATGTGTGAGTCCAGCACTGTGACCACAACACTATCTGCTGGCCTCAGTATTCAAGTTTTAATATGCAGAGGTAAATTTATAGATTTGGGTCAGGATTCATTTTCATTTGGGTAGTCAACTGTGTTATCCCTTTTCCCACCAATTCCTTCCATCATTATTCCAATTTTACACCAACACCATTATTCTCCCTGAGGGTTGTAAAACGGAATTTCACCTTGGTTTATGAGCATCTCAGAATGCCATAACAACAGTCCACAGAGGCACTATCAATGAATCTCATCAAAGCTTTATGGGGGCTTCCTAGTTTTTGTATTTGTCCTTAGAAAGTACCCAGGGGCAGAGACAGGCATTTTTG